TATGAAAGAGTGAGCCACATATATACAGTAGAGCTGGGCGATTAATCGCATTTTGATCTTGATTATGATTTGGGTTTTTAACGATCATAAAAACATAATTGAAGTTCGCAGTTWATGCTTCCACTGTTTTGTGTTGTGAATCCAGTGCCAGCATGATGGTGCAGGCTCCTCCCACAGCCAGAGTTTCACTTTGTCTAATTTTTTCAAAAATATGTGAAATCCTGAGGGAGACATTGTTTAACAGCAATTGTATATGTTCAATAAATTAATGTTATCAAAGTGAATTAATAATTCTGTTACATAATCTAGAYCTCAAAAACCATGATTATAATTTTTACAATAATTGAGCAGCCCTAATATACAGCATATCTGCTGTTTTGAATCAAATAAGGAATAAGCGTGTACAGAAAATGGATGGATGTAATAGTTTTAAAGGAACAGTAAAACACTTTACTATGTCCCATTTGGCCATCCTGCCTGGCACATTACTGCAGTGGTTCCCTGTAAGTGGGTGATTTTATTGTTTATTCGCCCCAATAAACATTAAAAAACACACACCAGCATTTCCGGAGACCGGTCTCATGTAAACAGGGCCCAAGATTCTTGGTCCCTTCAAAGAGCTGAGCAGAAACTTCAGAAAATTGAAGCAATGTTGAAAAGAGGAGTTGTTCCTTCACAACCATGTGAGAGACTGATGATAAAGTCCCACAAAAACCACAGTCCTGCTGAAGGAGGTTCTATGAGAGTTGTTCCACACCGTTATGTTTTTGTTGAATAAATTATGACATGATTAAATCTGTTGTGTGTTTTTGTTCACTGAGTTTAGCTTTAAATGATTTTAGAACCTGATAAAGACCAAATTGTTTTTATTATGTCCTGATAAGTAGAACCCTATAGCTGAACAAGGGTGGACTTTCTGGTTGACTATCAAAAATACAAAAAAGAATGAAAGAATAACTGCACTTGTACAACATGAAAACAGCGAGCGATTCCCAGTCCTGGGGTCGGATTTATAAAACTGGCGTACGCACAATTTGAGCCCAGAAACTTGCGTACGCCACTTTTTACGCTAAGGTTGTGATTTATAAAATCCAAACTTGACGTGACAATGTGCGGTGCCTCACGCCARCTYTGACCCATGCGTACGCTCATTTTGGAGATGGGAAGCTGCGACACAGATGGTGAAGTGAGGAATTAGAGCCACGTAATGATCGCTGTCAGATATTTAATTTACCTTCATCAGACTTAAATAAAAGTTCCCGTGCGCAACTCCATTCATCTGCTTCCTCCTCAGACGACCCTGACCCACACAGACCCCTCCTCGATAAGAACAGCAGGACAGCAAAAGCTTTGGATACACGCGCAGGGCGCGCTCCTCGCCAATGTGGATGTTATAAACCTTCACGTTTAAAGTCCGTGTTTGTCACGCGCGCGTGGGGGGGATGCGTGCGTTCGTGTGTGTGTGTGTGTGTGTGTGTGTGTGTGTGTGTGTGT